AAAGAAGAAAAGATGAGAATCTATCACCAGACCTTGGACGTGTTTATTCCTCGGTTTGAGAAGTTGAACTTCGCTCATCTGTTAAGAGAAAGCAACAGGTTCGCAGATTCACTAGCAACTCTATCTTCCATGATAGACATCCATTTCGGAGTCCAGATGCGTCCGATCATCATCGAACAGAAATTTGTGCTAGGCTACGAGCTGTTTGTTGCCATAGAAGAGGTACAAGATGGGAACCCCTGGTATTACGATGTCTAGAACTTCTTGGAAAAGGAAGCGTACCCACCAGGGGCAAATGCCAAAGATAAGAGGGCAATTCGAAGAATGGTTGCTCAGTTCATCATCTGCGGGGGTAAATTGTACAAGAGAGGTCATCACGGGATGCATAGGCTGTGTGTTGATGCCGAAGAATCAAGGCGCCTGATGGAGGCCATCCATGGAAGAGAGTGCGGAGCACATATAAACGGGGTAATGTTAGCCCGGAAGATTCTTAGACAGGATTATTACTGATCCACCATAGAGGAGGATTGTATTAGCTTTGTTCGGCGATGCCACAAATGTCAGATCCACGCCAACCGCATGAGCATTCCGTCGTCAAAGTTGTACAACATGACTTCGCCATGGCCGTTTTCAGTCTGGGGGATTGATGTGATTGGAGCGGTCACTCCGAAGGGGTCCAATGGGCATGAGTACATTTTGGTAGCGATAGACTACTTTACAAAGTGGGTTGTGGCTCAATATTATGCGGTGTTGAAGCCATTGCACGTTGCTAAGTTCATCAGAAACAACATCATCTATCGCTACGGGGTCCCGAACGAGATAATTTCAGATAATGGTTCCCACTTCAAAAAGGAGGTGATCGACTTATTGGACAAGTATAACGTGACTTTTCACAAGTCATTTACATATTGGCCGCAAACCAACGAAGCAGTTGATGTCGCCAACAAGAACATCAAGCACATTCTGCAGAAGATGGTGGAAACCTACCGGGATTGGCCAGATAAGTTGCCATTTGCTTTGTGGGGCTATCGGACTTCAATTCGAACTTCTACTGGGGCGACTCTGTATTCTTTGGTTTATGGGATGGAGGCTGTTCTCCCTATCGAAGTTGAGGTTCCGTTATTACGGGTATTGGCTGAATGCCAGATAGTTGAGGCAGATTGGCAGCAAGGCAGGTTCGGAGAACTCATGCTGTTTGATGAGAGAAGGCTGAAAGACTGTATCATGTTCAGGGTTATCAACGAAGAATTGCCAGGGCTTTCAACAAGAAGGTTAAGTCTAGGAATTTGAAGGAAGGGGATCATGTGCTCAAAGACAACCGAGCTCCCATTCACGACCCTAAGGGCAAGTTCAGACCCAATTGGACTGGTCCTTACATCATCAAGTCTATCTAGTCGGGCGGAGCTGTCGTTCTGATGGACCTAGATGGCCTAGAGTTCTTCTTACCGATCAACATGGACAAGTTGAAGAAATATTATCCCTGAGTGGCTCGCTAGGCAGAAAACCCGAAAAGGGCGACCTAGGCAAAAGTTAGAGCATGAAAAATTTGAAACTATGAAAACTGAGCTCGCAAGGTTAAAAACCCGCAAAGGGCGGTCTTGGCAAAAGTTAGAGCGCAAAAGGAGAGTGTTAATACACGAGTGAACTCGAGCCGAACTACGTAAGGCTTGATTCCCATCTTTGGGATACGTAGGCAACTTCACTCTGAAGTCCAGCCATAAACATTTCCCCGATCAACTTTGTCCATGTGATCATGTTTGGTCATCTTTGTCTATTTTGCGTTCAAGAGCTCAGTTGTGATCTCCGGTGCAGTGCTATTCAGACTAGGGGCAACTTTCCAGTTGTCAGAATCTGGGGTTGCGTATCTCTGTGACAGATCTCAGGCGTGTCCAGTTTTGATCCATATCGAAAGTGGTTTTGAAAAGTTTTAATAAAAGTTGATTTTGTTCAAATTAACCTTTTTACAATTTAGACCATTTTTGGACCAAACGGGAAATTTTTAGTACCCACAACCTTCAATTTCATTGATTTCAACACAGAGTTCTCCTACTCTTGAATACAAATTGAAGTTGCTTTTTATTACATTCATAAAGAAATCTTGAAAGTACTGATAAAAAAATAAATTCGGGGCATGAATGAGTCAGGTGTTCCTGCGCCCCCTCCCAGAGCTGGTCGAAGCCTCTGATGCTAAAGTAGGCCCAATCTGTGCCTTCTCAAACAGCCAAGCCATACACTTATCAGAGAGAGTACAACTGAAAGTGGGAGCGGGGGCCAGAAGCTCTCTAGTCCTCCATGCCGTGGCATACCGAGCTAGCTGAGTGCCTCGGACCGAAAATGCAGCAGGGTACTCCATCCCTTCTGCCGAGCAAGTCTGATCATGTACGAACTGACGCCGAAACCGGAAAGGAAAATAGAACACAGTGTGTCATGCCAATCAACTGAATCCCGGGCTGGCGAGTCATACTGTAGCTCATTGCCGGCAGATTGAGCCAAGGACAACGCCAAGAAATACGGTCTGCGGGTAAACTGCGCATCCAGTTGCACCACCATCCCTCGTCAGGGGCATCGACTAGACGTCATAAGAAGAAATAGCTACGAGCTGAGTATGCGGGGCAGGAGTCCACAATCTTCAATTTGTCCATCAACCATATCTGGGGAGGGATTAAAAATGAGAGATTAAAGAATAGAGAGGTGTACGTCGAGAGAAAAAGTGAGAAAAGGGTTTTGAGAGAAAAACCAAGCCTGAGGGGTGAGTGATGTGAGAAATATATGTGAGATGGGGCGGGAAACATTACCTGCAATAGTAGTGGACTCCCCGCCAAGCTAGCCGTCTCCCGGCGATGAAAAGCGTCCAAGCCTATCAATGTCTCAGCTAATGTCATGGCGATGCAGTTCTTGCCCTCTCTTAAGCCTTGGGCGACTTCAATCAAATGAGTGCTAAAACCACCAGAGCCTGGGGCAAGCAAAAAATGAGACAACATGCACAAACAAAGTGCATGTTGCCAATAACCCTGCTAGTCAAGATCGCCACGGTCACCAGCATCAGAAAATCAATGAATCAAGCTGGGGATATCCAACACTCCATCGCGAATCAATAACCGAGCGTCATCCAAAGTGAGCCCACACATCCATCCTAAGGCTTGGACGTAGCCAAAGTGGAATTGTGGCAAAATCTCTTCCTCGCGATTGGACTCCATCAGGATTTGGAAGTCTTCGAAAGTAGGACATACCTCTTGTCCACCAAAGCTAAAGACGTGTGTTACCAGGTTCCAAAACCTTGCCGCAACATGAAGAAACCAAAAACGCAGCGGGGTGCGGCTCAACGTGAATAGTGGATTTATGCCAAAACCCCATAAATTCACCTTTTCTGAGCCATCCAAGGAAGCAACCCAATTTGTGAGATTTTGGATGAAAAACGCCTCCATTTTGGTGCAAACTGAGTTGGAATGAGGGAACCACGAAGCTGGAACCTTTATAAAAGATAAGACACTGTTTGGAGGACAAGTGTCAGAAAACTGGAGGTTCCCAGGTCAAGTGGCCGGCCGACCACTTTTTCTGGTCAGCCAGCTATTTTTTTTGGGCTGCAGACAGAAAAACTGGTTGGCAGGCTTCTACGGTGGCCAACCATGAGCATGAAAGTGGTTTATACCTGTTTCTTGCCTCCAGGAGTGAGTCTCTAATTCCCCCGTGTGTTGGGAGTGCTGAAGGTTCGAGTTCACTTCTATTTCAGATGCGTTCCGTCGCTTTGTTCGTCTAAAATGCTTTGCTTATCGAGTTGTTGCTCATTTGTTTATCGAGTTGTTACTCATTTTTTTTTACTGAGTTGTTGCTCATTTGTTTATCGAGTTGCTGTTAATTTGTTTATCGAGTTGTTTATTCGTTTAACGAATTGTTTTTGAGTTGAGTTGTTTAGTTTGTTGTGTCAGTTCACTACCTGACTTGGCAATACACGTTGTTCTATTTTCATCCAAATTTTATTTTTGTGCAAAATGGTGCGATGCGATGCTCAGAATACAAATACAACACTCTTTGAACGAAAAGCCATTTTCATTCCATCATAGCTTCTTTTTTTACAACACTTTACAAAAGGGTACAAGTTTTGGAAGAAAAATAAAACTGCCTAAGCTGTACAATGTGCTACAACTACATGTAAAAAGAAAATAAAGGAGGAATATCTGCATCAGTGCTATCAAGTTCAAGACCGAGAGGCCTTCTTCACCTTCTTCGGTTGAGCAGCCTCCGCGCCACCGGCACTGGCACCATCATCTGAATCGGAGTCACCGTCATCGGAATCCTCCTCGGCGTCGCCTCCGTCCTCAGCACTGGAACCAGAGTCGTCATCCCTGCCTGCAGATGTCTCTGATTGTGGATGTGCCAACTCCTCCTCCTCGCTAGACTCGTCATCCTGTCTGACAGGTGCTCTGCGTCCACCTCGACCGCGTGCTAAGACTCCTCTCCTAGCTGCTCGAGAAGGCCTGGATGGCCCAGTCTGCAGAGGCGGGACCTGAAAAGGACAGTTTGAATGCATCAACCAGAAAAAAAGAGGGCAATTTGAAATACATTAGCCAATATGTATATCAGATGCAGAGAACAAGAAAGCTACATAGAGAGGGTGAATGCAAATACGGTATATGAATGTGGTGTGTGTCAGATGTGCTCTACACATGCAGTCGACTAATGCAGTGAAATAGTCAAATTCAACATGTCATCAAAAGTATGATAAAAACAAGGAAATTAAAAAGTACCGAAACACCGGCGATGAACAGCTGCGTTGCCCTCCGCAAAACCTTACTCTTGAGTGAGGCCACCACTCCGAGTAACCCATCACAATACTCTCTGGGAGGCTGCAGATACAAGCTCAAGTCATCAGTGAATGAATGAATGTCTAAATAACTGAATGTTAAATCAAAACTGTAAAGCATACCGGTGGCGAGTCAGGGTCACTAACGTATCGATGATCAGGCAATGGAGGCTCCTATGGAATCGAGTAAGACGTCCCATACCGCCAGCCTGTCAGCTCGGTCGGGAGATCTGGCCATCCAGCATACTGGCAAGTCGAGGGCATCCATTCGGTCCCGCCTCTCGATGAGCCTGCCCCGCTGGTCGAAGGAATGCCTCTAGCTCGGGCGCGACTCGAGGAAGGCATGTCAGTAGCTCTCTTCCTGGGGATACGGACACCTGACAGCAGAGGCATCAGGTACGTATGGCGATATGTCGCGTAATCCCCCTCCTCCAGAAAAAGGACAGCATCAATACCCAGCATGAGGTCCTCCGTCTTTCGGGGCGTAAGATCCCCTGCGGACCACATCTCTGGTAGAGGCAACGAGGGAACGTCCTGATCGAAGTTGCCCATCGTCTGGCGCATGGAGCACTCTCTGAGAAACTAGGCTCTGCCGACCGGTCCCTCAAGCAGAGCCCTGTATCGCGAAGTGCCCCATGTCCCAGCGAACAGAAATCGAGGATTCCCTGGCATAGCTATCCAAGGCTGCCAGGACACATGTGGGTAGCAAGTGCATAAATTGATTAGATGTCATAAATATGCAAGATAAATCAAAGTTGAAAGCATGAAGAACTGAGAGTTCTGAATTACCTCTGTCGCCCGTACAGTATCGAAGAACTGCCGGAGAAAGGGCAAAGTCTCCCGGGGCCTGGACCGACACCGACCCTCAAATCTGCGCGAGTAAGGGACCTCAAGGGGTGCCTCGACCTCTAGTTTAGGGGCCAACGTCGAGAAGTATGCATAAACCTACAGCTGTGAAAGGCAAGACAACGGCTGTCAGAGTGCAGAATGTAGTATGCAGTGTACAGTATACAGAATGTTGAGTGCAGAAGGCTGAGTGCAGAATGCTGAGTGCAGAATGCTGTGTGCAGTGTACAATATACAGAAAATACAGGAAATGCAGAATGCTGAGTGTAGAATGTAGAATACAGAATGTAATGTGTGTAGTGTGCAGTGTACAGATAATGAAAAGCAAAACTGTAAATCAAGAGGGCAGAATGTACCTCCCAGGCTCGCCAGTAGCCTCCAACTATGGTCCCTCGCTCACGGGAGGTCGCGCTCATGTAGCAGTAAAGGAAAGCGAGGGCAGCGCCACCCTAATCAAAGAGCTGGACTCGTGATAGGTCCACCAGAGCACTGAGCAGATAAAGCCCAACCGTGTTCCCCTTGTCGGAGAACAGTGTGGTCCCGAGGAGGAACATCAAAAATCCTCGGGCGTACTGTTGTACGGTCTCAATGGTCTGGGGCGAAGTCCCCCTGTACTGCTCGGAAAACCAGGTGTACCTAAGCCTGCCCGATGATCTGTCGATCGGCGGACGGGCTCTGAGCAAATAAATCCAAGCGGTCTCCCACTCACCTATATCTGCGTCGTATGGAATCGGCCGGCCTCCCACCTCAAGGCCCGTCAGCATGGAGAAGTCGTATGGGGTCATCGTCATATCCTCAATGGCTGAGAAATGGAAGGAGTTGGTGGTGTCCCACCATCTCTCCACAAGTGCCCCCAAGAAGGTCCTACTCGCTGGATGACGTGACAATCCTGCACAGAATAGACCAAACCCTGCCTCGTCCACTATATGTCGAACAGCGTCTGCGAGCTCCATGTACCACTCCCTCGTGAGGATAGACCCATAACCCCGTGTGAAACGGGAAGATACTTGCATTCAGAATGAACAGATGTATTCAGCTTTAGAATGAAAAGTATGAGCTGCGTGTTCAAAGTAAAAAGTATGAGCTGTGTGTTTAGAATGAAAAGTATGAGTTGTGTGTTCAGAATGAAAAGTATGAGCTGCGTGTTCAAAGTAAAAAGTATGAGCTGTGTGTTCAGAATGAAAAGTATGAGCTGCGTGTTCAAAGTAAAAAGTATGAGCAGCGTGTTCAAAATGAAAAAGTGTACTGCGTTATGGACTGTGTATTCAGATTGAGCAGTGTGTTAAAAAACCGAATACCGTTTTATGGACTGCGTGTTCAGATTGAGCGGTGTGCTATGTTATGAAAAAGTGTACTGCGTTATGGACTGTGTGTTCAGATTGAGCAGTATGCTAAAAAATTGAATACCGTGTTATGGACTGCGTGTTCAGATTGAGAGGTGTGCTATGTTATGAAAAAGTGTACTGCGTTATGGACTGTGTGTTCAGATTGAGCAGTGTACTAAAATACCGAATACAGTGTTATGGACTGTGTGTTCAAATTGAGTGGTGTGCTATGTTATGAAAAAAGTGTACTGCGTTATGGACTGTGTGTTCAGATTGAGCAGTGTGCTAAAAAAAATGAATACCGTGTTATGGACTGTGTGTTCAAATTGAACAGTGTGCTATGTTATGAAAAAGTGTACTGCGTTATGGACTGTGTGTTCAGATTGAGCAGTGTACTAAAAAAACGAATACCGTGTTATAGACTGCGTGTTCAGATTAAGCGGTGTGCTATGTTATGAAAAAGTGTACTGCGTTATGGACTGTGTGTTCAGATTGAGCAGTGTGCTAAAAAAATCAAATGCTGTGTTATGGACTGCGTGTTCAGATTGAGCAGTGTTATGAGCCGTGTGCCAACTAAACAAAATGCTGTGTTATGGACTGCGTGTTCAGATTGAGCAATGTTATGAACCGTGTGCCAACTAATCGAATGTTGTGTTATGGACTGCGTGTTCAGATTGAGCAGTGTTATGAGCTGTGTGTTCAAACTAAACAAAATGCTATGTTATGGACTGCGTGTTCAGATTGAGCAGTGTTATGAGCTGTGTGTTTAAACTAATCGAATGTTGTGTTATGGACTGCGTGTTCAGATTGAGCAGTGTTATGAGCTGTGTGTTCAAACTAATCAAATACTGTGTTATGGACTGCGTGTTCAGATTGAGCAGTGTTATGAGCCGTGTGCCAATTAATCAAATGCTGTGTTATGGACTGCGTGTTCAGATTGAGCAGTGTTATGAGCTGTGTGCCAACTAATCTAATGCTGTGTTATGGACTGCGTGTTCAGATTGAGTAGCGTTATGAGCCGTTTGCCAACTAATCGAATACTGTGTTATGAACTGCATGTTCAGATTGAGCAGTGTTATGAGCTGTGTGCCAGCTAATCGAATGTTGTGTTATGGACTGTGTGTTCAGATTAAGCAACGTTATGAGCCATGTGCCAATTAAACCGAATGTTGTGTTATGAACTGCGTATTCAGATTGAGTAGTGTTATGTGCTGTGTGCCCAAATGAGTTGTGTGCCGAACTAGCAGAGTGTTGTGTATATCAATATGTTCAAAACGATCAAATATGATACATAGCAAAAACATAAAATGTGCAAGAAATGCAAAAGTAAAGTATGTACCTCATGCGCGTGATGAAATAGATGGGACTCTGGCTCTCGTAGTAGCAGGTCTGCAGGTGCCCGCCGCGCAAAGTCCGTGAAGTGGTAGAAGGTGCCAGGAGGAAGGATGTGCTCCTTCAGGTCGTACCCCTCAGGGACGAACGGCCGTATCCTCGGAGGCAACGGTATGATGTCGGGCTCGTCCTCTGCATATGGAGGACCTCCGCTATACGGGATATCGTCAGTTATCTAAAGAAATCTATAAAAGATACAAAAACGAGCAAAATGAGCCAAAATTGCAAATAGTCAACAAAAGTCAACTCTTAGGAAGAGAAAAAGTCAACAAAAGTCAACGCCCGAGAAAAGGTACTAAACTTTGAGACAAACATACCTCAAGTGATGAAAATGGAGAAAAAAGCTCCGAAAACAAATTCTAATCGGTTCAAAACGAAGAGAATCGAAAGTTTTCGCGAAACAACTTCGCGTGGGGCGTTGGAAAACGCATATAAAGTGCAGATCTGAGAGAGAAAAAGCGTCTAGAAGCAAAGGAGAATGTATTTCGGCCTTGGAGGTGTGATACAAATTGATTTGGAGTTGTGTACTTAAAAAACCGAAGCTAAAAGACCAAACTGCCCTGAAATTCTATAAACTGGTCAGGCCAGCCAGTTTTTCTGGTCGGCCGACCAATTTTATGGGCAACAACTGATCGGCCACTGATATAATTGGTCGGCCACCCTCCTGGATGATCCTCAAGGCTCCATTGTTCTCCCTATGCATTTTTGTGATGATTGGAGTCCTCGGCCCTCGGGAAAGTACAAGAAAAGTACACTTTTTGGCTCAAGAATGTCCCTTCAGGAATTTCAATTTAAGTCTTCGACGCGTAACTCATCGTTACTCGTCAAGAGTAAGGTGTATCCTTTTAAGTACATATGACCCCTCCGAGAGGTAAATCGGAGGTTACGGTTGAATTACTCTCTTTAAGGCTTGTACTTATTTTTCATTCAAACGTGCTATTTCGTCATACTTTCCTATCCTACATTGTTGTGCCCACCACTTGTTACATTGTTATGCACGTTACTAGGCGCTTTATTACGCACACTTTTGTTGAATTGCTATACACTTTGCTTGCATTGTCCCGCACTTTACTCGCATTGTTATGCTTGTTTTATCCGCATTGTTATGTGTCACACTTAGGTTGCATTGTTTTGCATCCCTTCTGCATTGTTATGCGTCACACTTAGGTTGCATTGTCTTGCATCCTTTCCGCATTGTTATGCGTCACACTTAGGTTGCATTGTCTTGCATCCCTTCCGCATTGTTATGTGTCACACTTAGGTTGCATTGTTTTGCATCCCTTCCGCATTGTTATGCGTCAAACTTAGGTTGTATTGTCATGCACCCCTTCACTTGCGTTGTTACGCACTTTTCACTTGCATTGATATGCATGTTTCTAACGATATTGCACCTGCTGAGTTTCTTTCTTTTGCAGGCACGATATTGTATGTACGATTCATTTGAAGCTGTCACGACCAGACGAACCTAACGATATTGTATTCTCCGCGTGAGACGTAGCGAGAATTGTATAATTCTCTTACATCCTTTCTGCATGTAATGTAGTTTGGTTCGTATTCTCCTGCTTAAACTGTTGCATTTATTGTGTATATTTGCTTCGTTACAGCTTTCTTTGCATGATAATAAATTATGTTCGACTTTGTGCATGTCATTTGCATCTTGCCCTAGCCTGCCGGCGCATCTCTTTATTATATTGCATGTTTGTCTAAGTTTTCGGCCTTGTCAAAAATGAGTCATCTCTAGGCTTTGACATTCACTCCCGTCACTTATGACTTTCGAGTTCTGTCAAAGAGTGGCAACAGTAGACACCCCATTTTTGACCGACCTTAAGACTCAGCCATCATCGATTGAGCGCTTGATGACGCTGCATGTTGTGCTCATTTAAAGGTTTCAGAGTTTTGGCTGAGGGCCTTGCCTCCGGGCCTCTGAATTCTTTTGTGCTTTGGCTCGATTTGTGGACCGAATCTTGTTTTCTCTTCCCGGAGGGAGGGAGTGGTCTTGTAGACCATCTCTTTGTGGTCGTAGACCACTTTTTGTGGTCATAGGTCACTTTTCCCGTTTGGAGACTAGTTTCCGGTTTTTAGAGCCTTTGGCCGCGCGCCTTGTCTCGGGACCGCTTAACGTTCTCCGTTTGGCGTGGTTTTTGAACCACACCTTGTTGCCTCTGCCTGGAGGGACACTGTGGTCCGGGAGACCACTTTTGTGGTCGCATACCACTTTTGGTGCTCGTCAGCTAGTTTTTGGGACTTTCGACCGCATGCTTTGCCTCTCGATCTCTCGTCTTACATCCGTTTTGGTTTATTTTTGGTACAAATCTTGTTTTCCTTGTTTGGAAGGTGGTACAAGGGTGGGAGACCAGCATTTCTCCTGGCTGACCACTTCTTCCTCTGCCAGCCAGTTTTCTGGTCAGACAACTGGCTTTCTTGGTTTTTGGGGCATCTTTTCTGGTCGGCCACCACACCACTGCATTGTTTTCATGCCCTGGACTCTCTCCCACCATGGCCGACCAATTTTTGCTCTCAGAGGCCACTTGAAGTGGTCGGCCAACCACTTTAAGTAGCAGGCCGACCACTTGAAGTGGTCGACTGCTTTTTGACACCTTTTTGGAGATATTTTTGGCCAGCTAGCACAGCTGGAGGACACCAGAGCTATCCTCCATACACGTGTATGGAGAGATTGCCTTGGTTCTTAGCTTCTCCTAGAAGCTTTGCCTTTCCTCTTCTATAAGAGGGAGGCTCCTCCTCCCTCCTCTAGGTTCAGAAAAACTCCCTTGAGTTATACATATAGCCTATATCTATACTTCTTCATTTTGCTCTTGTTTTGTGTTCAAAAGTGTACTTTTGTCTTGCTTTTTCACACAAACACACACTCAAACACCATCACTTTGCTACTGAGGTGCTTATGAGCTGGTTTTGGTGTTCTTGGATTGCTTTGAGCTTGAAAAAGTTGTTGGAGTTGCAGCTCTAAAGAAGGTCTTTAAGGGTGAGTCTTTGACCTTTTAAATCCCCATTTTTGCTTGAGCTTTTGACCCCTTTTGCATACTTTTTTAAGCTTAACTTCCTACTACAAAAAGTTCTATTTTTGTGTGCTTAAAATAGTTGTTTAAAGTCACTTTTTCATTTGGGGTGATTTACTCCCTCTTAGGCCTTGTTAGGCCTTGTTTTGAGCCATCCCTTTAGGCTCTTGGTGAAGCCTTTGCATGACCTTTCTACCACTGAAATCTAGAGGATTTTCAGTGGTGGAAAGGTGGTTTTGATATCCTAAATAGGAGAGGGTCCCCTCTCCTTGTATTTTGTTTACTTGCTTCGTATGGCTCACGTTTGAGCATCTTTGATAAGCTTGTGTTAGCTTGTTCTTAGCTTGTATTTGTAGTTATTTTGCTGAGGCATACCATTGTTTTTGCTTTCTTTGGTCACTCCATGCATGGTTGATACACTTGTAGTGTAAATCACACAAACTAGCTTTATGTGCTTCATGAAATAGCATGTCATTCTAGTTTGTTTTCTTTCCATTTCAGCATGTTTTCGGTGATGTTTTGCCATGTCATGACTTTGTTTTGGTTTGTTTTGGTTGGCCCTTGCATGCTCCATACACTTGTAGTGTAGTTCCATAAACTAGCCTAACATGCATCATGTTGTAACATGTTATTTTAGCATGTTTTTGACTTAGCTCTGAGAAGACTTTGTTTATGTTTTAGCATGTTTAAAGTCTGATTTGTGTTGTCTTGGCCATGCATGACTTGCTTTGTATAGCTATGGTTCAATCTAGCTTGTTAGCTTTGTGTGTTGAGTCCTCTAGCATGCATTACTTGGACTATTTCAATGATTTAGCATCATTTATTATGTGATTTCAGTCAATGTTTTATGGTCATGCATTCACATTAAACACTCATTCAATGCATTGGAGGGTTTACCCCTTTATGCCTTAACATGAACCATTGTGTATGCCTTCATGCCTTAACTTGCGAGCTCTCATTTCAATGTATTTTTGGGATTATTATGCCATGATATAACTCTGATTTTTATTGGTTAATTCATTCCATGCTTGGTCTTAATAGGTTTAGTGTAATCCACCTTATTTGCCTTGTATGCATCATGTCTTATGCCCTTCATGATAGCTTATTTTGGCTTCCTTCCATGCATGTTTTAGACTCATTTTAACATATTCTATGACTGTTTTGGGTTACCTTGGTCACATGTTTCATGTTTTGTATACTTGTAGTACAAATGTTCTTGCTTGTCTCAAGCTTTGAGCACCATTGCATGCTTCACGTGTGTTGTGTACATGATTTGGCATCACTTAGCATGACATTTCAGAGCATTTAGCATTGCCATGTTCCTACCTCAATCATGCTTTAAGTGCCTTTGAGTGTTATGCATTGTTGCCTAGTTTATGGCTTAGCTTGTATGCTTACATGCTTGCATGCCTAGGTATTTGAGCCCTCATCTCAACATGTTTAGGTCCTTATTTTGACTTACTTGAGCTCTGTCCATGCTTAGTTCATGCATTTGTGCCATGTATTGCATGCCTCATGTGTAGTCCTTTTTGCTTGTCTTAAGCTTTAAGGACCTTTGCATGCCTTGCCTGTGTTGATTAAATGATTTGGCATCATTTCTTACCTCATTTCAATGCACTTAGTGTTGTTACACTTCCATGCTTTTCACTCTTTAAGTGTTCTTGAGAGTTGCACCTTAGTGCCTTAGTTGGTGAGCCAATTGGCATGCATGTTTGTATGTGTTTTCGGTGCCTCCATTTTAGCATTATGGCCACTGTTTTGGCATGACTGAGGTCTGTCCATTTCGGTTTAAGTCCATTGAGTATATGGTTTGCATGTTGTTGCATGTTTGGTGCATTGCACATTGTTGCCCTTGTTGCATTGCATTGTGCATGCATGCATTACATTGTGTTAAGAACCCTCATGATTGCCTTGCATTGAGTGTGCCATCTAGCTCTTAGCATTTAGCATTGTGTATGTCATGTTGCCTTGCATTGTGTATGCTAGGTTTTAGTTGCATTTGAGTATGCCATGTAGTTACATGTTCTCGATGCCTAAGGTTGCATTACATAGCGTGTGGCATGCCATGTTTCTTGCTTGACATGTGTTTGGAATAGGTTTAGTCCAAACACGGGAAAACGGGAGACGTTTCATACAGTAATGAAACTTGCCTCAATTCCTGGTTGTTCGACGCTCTTAATCATACATGATAGAGTTCTAGGCCTTATGTGTTTACTTGTGCATTTATTTCATATTGAATTGTACAACTTCGCCTCTCGGCTATCATGCATTGAAATGCGCGATTGGTGGCCCGAGGTTGAGAACCACACCCCTT